TATGCAGAGAGGGTGTCTGTCTCATTCTGTGCCTGGAAGCTGATGCCACCACTGTCATCACCACCACCAGCACCACCATCATCATCACTTTAAATCAGATTTATTTATGAGGTACAATTTAATTTTAGGCGCATAACTGGATGAATTCTTGGACCAATGTATACAACCGTACAACTACCCCCTGAATCATGATATTGGACATGCCTATCACTCTTTAAAGTTCCCACTGCAGTCAAACTTTCCTCAAGTCCTAACCCCCGTCAACTACTAATCTGCTTTCTGTCACTATAGATTAGTCTTTTTTAGAGTTTCCTCTCAATGTAGTCTAGTTTTTATATGGCTGGATTCTTTTGCTCAGCATAACTACTTTGAGATTGATGTTGTTGCATCTATTAGCAGTGTATTCTTTCTTATTTCTGAGTAGTAATTAATTGTATAGATACAGTGCAACTTGTATACTCATTTGGGTTGTTTCCAATTTTAGGCCATTTTGAATAAAACATTTGCGCATAAGGCTTTGTGTGGACATGTTTTTAATTCCTCTTGGGCAAATATCTAGGAGTAGGATTGCTGGGTCATACAATAACTGCATGTTCAATTTTATAAGAAACCAGCAAACTGTTCTCCAGAGTAACTATATGACTTGCATTCCTACCAAAAATGAATCCAAGTTCCGTTTGCTCCATATCCTCATTAACACTTGGTATTTTCACTCTTTTAAAGTTCCAGCCATTCTAGTGGATATGCAGTCATAGTTATCATGATTTTAATTTGCATTTCTCTAAGGACTAAAGATGAAGTTCTTTTTATGTCTTTGCCATTTATTTATCCTGAGTAATGTGCTTATTCAAATCTTTTATCTATTTTTAAAAAATTAGGTTTTTCTTCTTATTACTGAGTTATGAGTTCTCCATATGGATAATATAAATCTATTACCAGACATAAATTTGAAAACATTTTATTGTTTTTTACCTGAAATTTGCCTTTAATTTTCTTGAAAGTGGCTTTTGAAAACATTTCAAATTTTGATGACACCTAATTTACCAACATTTCCTTTTCAGTTTCTATTTTTTTGTGTGCCTTACCAAAACATTCCCTAACCCAAGGTCACAACGACATTTTCCTGTGCTTTTTCTTCTAGAAATATTATGCATTTGGCAATTACATTTAGAGTTATGATACACTTCAAGTTACTTTTTGTGTAGGTGTGAGGTAGAGGTGTAGGTGGATTTTGTTTTCCCCACATGTGGATATCCAATTGTTCCAGCACCATTTGTTGAAAAACTGTCCAACTGCCCATTGCACTGCCCTGGTTGGCACTTTTGGCAAAAACCAACAAGCCATCATATGTGTGGGTCTGTTTCTGGACTTCCTATTCTGTTATTTTGATCTATGTGTCTATCCTTATACCAATTACCATACTGTCTTGATTACTATAGCGTTATAATGAGTCTTTAGGGTCAGGCAGTGTCTGTCCTATGATTATTTTTTCAGAATTGTTTTAGTTATTCCAGATTCTTCATATTCCTATACATATCTTAGGGCTAGCTTGACAATTTCTTCAAAAAAGTCTTCAGGATGATGATTAGTATTGCACCGAAGCTACAGATTTACTGGAAATTGATTTAACAATGTCTTCAGACAGATGAACATCTGTCTTTTCATTTACTGGGTCTCTGAAATTCTCTTAGCTTTTAGGTTTTTAGATGTTAGTGCACAGGTCTTGCACATGTTTTGTTAAATTTACTGCAAGTATTTCACATTTTTGATGCTATTATAATTTTTATAAATTTCAAGTTCTAATTGTTCATTACTAGAAATATGATTAATTTTTATAATTTGATTTTGTATCCTGTGACTTTGTTAAATTCAATTAGTTTTAAAATCTTTTTGGGGGAGATTCTTTTGGATTTTTCCTCTCTATAAACATATCTATGTAGATAGATCTCTACATATATCATGTTGTCTGAGAATACAGATAGCTTTACTTCTTCCTAATTTGTATGCCTTTATTTACTTTCCCTGCTTTATTGTACTGAATAGGACAATATTGACTGCAAGTTGGTTGTGAGCAAAATACTTGCCTTATTCCTGATCTTAGGGGGGAAGTGTTTAGTCTTTCACAATTAAGTATGATGTTAGCTGTATGTTTTTCATATATGCCCATTATCAGTTGAAAATGTTCTCTTCTGCTCCCTTTTTGCTGAGAATTATTATCAGGAATGGATATTTAATGTTATCAAACGCTTTTTCTGGATCCGTTGAGATGATTCTACAGTTTGCTTTTGGTCTATTCACCTAGTAAATTACATTGACTGATTTTAAATTGACCTCCATTCCTCAGGTAATCACATTTAGTCAAGATTGTATTTATTTCTGTTAAAAGTCCTCTTCTGAAGACTACTTTGTCTAATATTAATATAGCCACTTCAGATACCTTTTGATGTATTTGATACACCTTAACCTATGGAACAATGTAACTTACCCTCGCCTACCTTAAACATGCTCAACACTTAACATTAGCCGACAGTTGGGCAAAATCATCTAACTCAAAGCCTACTTGGTAAAAAGTGCTGACTATCTCAAGTAATCCACTGAATATGGTACTGGAATTGAAAAACAAAGTGGCTGTATGTGTACAGGTTGTGCACCCTTGTGATGGTGTGGCTGACTGGGAGCTGCAGCTGCTCCCCTTGCCCAGTGCCATGAGAGGGGACTGTACCACGTATCACTGGCCCAGGGAAAGATCTGTACATGTGTAATGCTGTAGCTATGATGGTTAATAATCAGTATTTTGCCAAAAACTAGAAAGATGGAGTTGTCACAGTACTTCACTTCCTCTTAAGCATGCATTTTGAACTTTAACAATTTGGTAATAATATATAAGCAGTGATCATTTTAAGGTTGATAAAATTAGTTGACAATTTTTCAACTATATTACTCCCGAAATTATAGATAAAACGGAATCTTTCACCTAGCATTCCCCTCACACGATAATAAAACTGTTTATTCAAGACAATGATTTGGGATCCATCGTGTAATCAGGACAGGCACACGTGCAGATGACATAATCTCAACTCATTTACTCAAACATGGCATGTAACTTCCATTCACATGCTTATTTCCAGATACTAATTAAAACAATAAACCCCAATTTCTTCCCTACTCTGCTCTTCAAGAAGTCCAGGTTTATAACATGTACTGAACACGAGTGTGAAAGTCATCTAGGAGAGTGGAGCATGCTAATGCCTCAGGGCAATTTTCTAGGAATGGATAAAGTATTGCACTGGATGAACACCTTCATCAAATAATTTCTCAATGATGATTCAGGAGGAGCAGGGGAGCATACCACAGTCCACTCTCTTGAGTTTCCAGGAAAGGGAGTTTTAATTCCCCTTCATTCATTTCACCTAATCATGTGTTCTAAGTTGAGTGAGAAGAAAAAGGAGTGAACACTTCTGGAGGGCAGGGTTTTACAAATGCGTCACACTGCAGTTCTTCAAAGTAGGTAAAATTATCCTTATTTGCATAGAAGAAAAAACTGAGGTACAAAGTAATTTGCTTAAAACCAAACAGCCAGTAAGTAGAAAGGCCAGGACCTTGCCTGGGTAGGATGTTGTCTCTTCTCGTATAAAATACCAGCTCCACACCCAACCCCTCTCTGCGTGTCTGTCTGCAGCCCATCCGCCTCCTCTCCCCCATCACCTCCCAGGTACCACATGCCCTGGGCACACTGAGCTGCCAACCTCCAGCTTCACCAGGCCAAACCCACCTTTACACTTCCGCACGTTTCCTCTGCCTGGAAAGCCCCCATGCCCTTGTTGTCCACATGGTAACTCTGACTCACCTTTTACGTTTCCACCCAAAGGTCTCCTCCTTTGAGAACCTTTTCCTGTAATGCTCCTCAGCTGAGTTAGCAGCTCCCTCTGTACTGTAACCAAGGCACTTTACAAACTAGCTCAGGGCACAAAACTATGGTATGTGCCACCTGCTCCCAGGTATGCCCACCTACACTCTGGACTATAAGCTTCATGAGGGTAGAAGGACACTATTTGATTTTATAAGGCTAAGGCTACATGCCTCCAGGTAGCAGGTATACAAAACACTGGACGAATAAAAAGAGTATGCCGGAGGAGTGAACCAAACAGGCCCTGCCCTCCCACTACGTAATATGGCTCTTCGAGAGTACAAAGCATTCTCTCTGTTTGCTGAATTACTGTTAGACTTTCCCAGACCCTGTCCCTCCTCCTCAGCCACTTGGCACCCCATTTGCTGATTAGATATAACATACTCACGTACATACTCTCACTGGATTCTCACAACACTCCTACACCATAATTTTGTTTTCTACTTCACAGAGAAGGAAACTGATTTTCAGAACCATTAGGCAACCTGCCCAAGCTTACTCGACTGGCAGGGGAGGGGCAGGATGTGAAAGTCCATGCTCGTTTCACCGAAACACTTTGCCTTCCCAATTGTAGCACACCTCGCACCAGCGAGGTTAACTGTGTATTAACCAGAATGCGGATGTCAGCCCTTCGCCTACTACTCTTCTTCCTTGTCACCGTGTCAACCCATTACATGAAAATATTCTAACATGTTGAAAGTTTGTGACTGGCTTCTTGTTTTAAAATACAAATAATTACTCCCTACGGAATATATCCACTCATGGAGGATCAAAGAGTAAAAGGTCTTCTAGTCTCAGGCCCTTGGCAAATTGAAATAAATAGTAAAAATGATTCACAAGCCTGTATTTCTAATACACAGGTACAGTTCTGATTAATTTAGTTAGCTATCACACTGCCCCAAAACTCTTAATGTTTGCTCCGCTGGTGATTTTTTTGTTTTGTTTTGTTTTCTGTTTTTAACTTAAGAAAGCAATTCTGTCATCAGAAAATTTAACCGACTAGGTTCACTTCCTCTTTCAGGTCATTAGTGGAATTATTAACTTGGGTCACAAGACTGAGCTCAGGGCACCCACTTTATCAATTTCTCTCTAATCTGAGAGGCACACATTTCAGGAGACAATCAAAGGCAATAGTACTGTCTCCTTATCCTGTTGCCCTTGATCATGGTTTTAAACATATGTCATTATTCCCTTTCTTTTTACTACTCTTTTCTGAATCATTTACTCATGTCTACGTGCTGCAGAAAAGACTGGCAAGTTTGCCCGTGTCTCTTGGCTGCCCAAGCTAAAAGTGCTTGTATTTCACGTTACGGTATGTTTTTATTATGCTTATTGATGGTCATTCACTGTAAGTGATCATAACTCACAAACACAAATCAGCTCCTCAATTAACCAGTGAACTGATTCGCTGAAAGTCATCTTGTTGAAGGAGTTGTGTTAATTCACTCTGTCATGGGTCCTGCATGGGGAACGAGATCAAGCCTTTCCCTTTATGGGTCCACTTTGCTGCTCCTGAACCTGGTGGACCTGAGTGTTCAGGGGTACCAAGAGAGATCAACTCATGCACACCAACACCTTCACCGGTTCCTCAGAACATTGAGGGTGAATCCTGGCTGCAACACCTGCACACACATCCTTTGTGATCTGCCCCTGGCCCACTTTTCTGCTTTCATTTTCGGCCTCTCTCATTCTTTTCTCCAGCAAATCTTCCAACTTGTTCCTTTCTTCTAGCATGATCTCTTAACTCATAAGGTTTCATTCTCTTCCTTTTCATATGCTCTTCCCATTAGGATGTCATATTTCCTCTCCTTTCTTGGCCCTTCAAAATTCAGCCTGTGCCACCTCTCCTAGGAAGCACACTTCCACCCCCAAATCAGAATTTAGATGCTTTTCTTTTGGGCCCCCACGGCACCTTATTATTTATATATCTCTATTATCTCACATGACACTTATCACGTTGTATGGTCGCTGTCATTTTAATTGGCTATCTTGTTCTACATTCTCTGGGGAGCTTGTAGCAAGGACCGTATCTTGATTTTGTTACCCTGGTAATGATAGTAGGAGCTAAAAATGCTAGTAAAATAAATAGTTTTTAACCTGGTGCATAGTCATATATACCATCACATGCCTTAGTTTCTGTAGTTTAGGGTCTGTAGTTTCTACTTTTATGGTCCATTCTCTCAGTTGGGGTGCGTGTGTGTTTAAGAAGACACTGTCATAGTAATAGTGTGCCAAGAAGGAAGCTGGTCCAGTTCCTTCAGTTTCCCATTACTCTCAACCTTTAAAACATTATCTGTGTTGAGCACTTCCTGCCTCCTTCCTGCTAGAAATCACCTCATTCCAATTTTCCCTAGATTAGCTGTTCTGGAAAACCTGGGTTTTGTGTTCTTTGCACACAGCCAATCTATTAACATTTTGTGTCAGTGATGATTCCTTTTGTTGTTATAGGCCTGAGAACATTTCAGATTTTCAGTTTGCCAGTGCTCTTGTGGCTGAGGCTGCTAGCTGTCCATCAAAATCCACGTGCCCTTCTAGAGTTTCCAGTCTCCCCCGAAGACAAGCATAGCCACGGGACAAAGTTCTCTCCAGCGGAACGTGAACACAAGTAACACGCGCCCTTTCCAGGCTTAGCCTGTAAAGCCCTTCTACATCCACCCCTGCATGCTGTGCCTCCTTTCAGGGTGACTGGGATGTCCACATCTCAGGAAAACTAGAGGCATGTTTAAGGGCTGCAAAGCTGCTGTCAGCCTGGTCTCTAGACGACTTCTTGGAGGAGAGCCATTCCACCAACCTGGACCCTTGCCCAGGACTATTTGGTGAGCAAAAGCAAACAAAACAAAACAAAACTTCTACCAGTTTAAGCACATGGAATTGTGCAATTTTGGGATGTCTCTCTGTACCACAGCCTAGCCTAGCCTCTTCTACCTAGTACAGGCATGGCTTTAATAGAATGCTAGTTAAATGACAAGATGCTAGATATACTGTTGGAAGTAAATTAGAGCCTACCAGTCCCGTAGACCATTATCAGCCATCCACAGATCTGTTATTTCCATTACTACTTTGATCATCACCAAGAATGTCATCAATAATATCAGGTGATTACTAAATTCAAACATTCATTTTAATGCCACTAAATTTTTAAAGAAGTGTTGTAGAGCAACCATGGTGGGTGGGGCTGAGTGTGGTGGGGTGAATCTGAAAACGGTGAAACTGCTGGAAAATTCCACAGCATTTCTTTTGTCATTATAACTGAGAAGTCCTAGGTGACTCTGGTGAACTTCTGACGCTGTTAGCCCAAGTTCCCCAAACTAGCTTCCAAATACTTATCATAGTTTCCTAGGAAAGGGAGAAAGTCGTTTTTCACATTTTTATATAGAAGAGATCTCTTGATATTTAGGGCTGGAAGATATATGCTCAAAATGGTGAGGAAATTAGAAAATCCAATTAGAAATTGGATTTGTAAACAAATAAGATACCAACTCATTAAAATGATCCTTTTCTTTATAAAGTGCTTCTAAATAATTGTGTCACTAAAATTTATTTTAGTCTGTGCTTTCTGTCAGATATGCTATACTTCTCTTCCACCCTCCTTTCCACAAACTCCTTACTTTGAGCGTTTTAAAAAAAACATCTTATTGAAGTATAGCTGAAAGCGCTAAATATGAAGCCGATAGCTCCAAACACTCTAAAATATGTACGTACCCATATAAGCACCACACAGGACAATATACAAAACATTTTCAGTGCTCCAATAGGCTCCTTTGTGTTCCACTTTGGTCAATGCCTCCTCAAAAATTGAATATTCTGACTTCTATCACCATGGATTAGTTTTGCCTGATTTTGAACTTGACATGAATGAAAGCATGTACTACATACTCTGTGATGCCTGGTTTCTTTCACTCAACATCATGCTCAAGAGCCATATTATTGCAATGTGATGGTTCATTCTTTTTCATTGCTCTACAGTGTCCTGGTGAATGAATAATACCACAATTAATTTATCCATACTACTGTTGATGGACATTTGGTTTGTTTTTACTTTGGGGCTATTATGAATAACACTGATATGAACATTCTTGTACCTGTGTTTTACATGAACATTCATTTCCCTTGGGTATTAGCCAAGAAGTATATTATTTTTAGTAGATAATGCCAACCTGTTTTCCAAAGTGTTTCCATCAGTTTACATGTCCACCACCATGTATAATAGTTCCACTTGCTCCATATTCTCATTAATATTTCTGACTGTCAGTCCTGTTAATTTTAGCTATTTGGTGGGCTTTAATTTTCATTTTCCTGATGGCTAATAATGTAAGTGTCTTTGCGTATTCATACTGGCAATTTTTTTTCTTGGCCATTACATTTCTGAACTTTTTAAAACAGTGAAGTATAGTTGATTTATAATGTTGTGTTAGTTTCTGATGTACAGCATAGTGACTCAGTTATATATATATATATATATTCTTTTTCATTATAGGTTATTATAAGCTATTGAATATAGCTGCCTGTGGTACACCACAGGACCTTGTTGTTTATCTAGTCTGTATATAGTAGTTTGTGTCCGCTAATTCCAAACTCCCAATTTATCCCTCCTCATCTTTCCCCTTTGGTAATCATGAGTTTGTTTTCTATGCCTGTGAGTCTCTTTCTGTTTTGTAAATAAATTCATTTGCGCCATTTTTTTAGATTCTACATATAAGTGATATCATATATTTGTCTTTCTCTGTCTGACTTACTTCACCTTAGTATGATAATCTCTAGGTCCATATATATTGCTACAAAGCGTATTATTTCATTCTTTTTTATGGCTAACTCATATTGGCAATTTTTGATATTTTCTTTTGCCAAGTCCTCGTTCAGATGTTTGCCCATTTTCAACAAGGTGGTCAGTATTTTTTTCTTTTTTGATTTGTATAAGTTCTTTAGATATTCTGGATACATGTCCCTTGCTGGATATATGTATTGCAAATATCTTCTTCAGTCTGTAGTTTTTATTTATTTATCCTCAATGATGTCTTTTAATGCATAGACTTTCTTAATTTTGATGAGGTGCAATTTATTATTTTCTTTTATGGTGAAGTATTTTCTGCATCCTATTTAAGATCTCTTTGCCTGTCCCAAGGACATTCAGGTATTCACCAAAGTTTTGTTCTAAAAATTTTATTATTTTATTTTTATAACTTCAAGTCTATAATGTCTCTCATTAATTTTTGTGTATGATATGATGTAGGGGTCAGGTTTATTATTTTCTATATGGATATCCAACTGACCCAGCAACCATTATTTAAAAATCCATTATTTCTTCCAATGAATTGCAGTAATGCTTTCGACATAAATCAGATAAATTTATACGTGTGCATTTTTCCTACTGGTCTACTAAGTTAGTCTTTAGTCAAAACCAACCACCCTGTCTTAATTACTGTAGCTTTATAAGTCTTAATATCTAGAAATGTAAGTCTTCCAGCTTTTTTCTTGTTTTTAAGATCACCTTGGCTATTTTATTTCTTTTGTATTTATATATATGTTATATACAATCATTCCGTGAATTTCCTTTTGGGATGGTGACTGGTGTTGCATTTAATCTGTAGATCAGTTTGGAGAGTACTGACATCATAACAAAGTGGAATATTCCAATTCATAAACATGGTATCTCTTATTCCTCCCTTGACTTAAGTCTGCTTTAATTTTTCTAAGCAATGCTTTATGGTTTTAGTAAAGTAGTCTTGAATGTCTTTGGTTAGATGTACTCTTAGGTATTTGTCATTTTCAGTTTTTAAATGTGACTAAGAAAATAAACCAGTGCTTAATTAAGAACTGTGAGGCATTACTAGTATTCACATCACCTTGCTTAAGAGGTTAAAAAGAGCAAAACTCATACGCAAAATAAATAAACAAGTATAGTAAAAACTACCTACAACATTATCTGAATGTTGAAATCTCCTTACTTTCTAAGAGTTGAACATATCTGAGCACAGTTACTACTGGAGCAATGTTCTGTGAACCTACTTCTCTGTTACCTAACTAGCTAAGTTACCACTAGCTACTCGCACAGCTTGTGGTAGAAAAACTTAGTGCTCCAGTCAAAGTCCTTCCATTTCTTTGGCTGTGCTATTCCTTTCTCACCCCCTTCTGGGCTTTCCACACATCCTACACCTCTGTTGGACCCCTGTTCTCTCCTCCTTTTTACCTGGCTACTAACTATGCACTCACAATCTTCTGCTTAAGTCATAATATCTCTATGAATCCTATCCTGACCCACCAGACAGAATCAGGCATCCCTGCTGTGTGCCTCCACAAAACCCTTTAGAGCCTCTATCCTAGCACTAGACTGCATTCTCATTGCTTGGTTAATGTCTGTCTCCCCTACCACACTATAAATTCTATGAAGAAAAGGGCAATGATGATCTTATTCAAAATTTTGTCTTCAGAGCCTTGCACAGCACTCGGATATATTAATTGCTTGATAAATACTTTAATTAGCATGAAATTTGGGCAGAGCAGAAGGATGAGACTCTCCTCTCTTCCTCCTTAAAAACTGGAGTCAGTGGAGACCCACCACTGGTCTATCCTAAAGTGGAATCAGATAATGAAATGCTCATTTTCCCTGGAATTAGGGTAGCTGCTGTAAGTGCTACATTTCCTCCTAATTTTTATTGTTGGTAAAACATAAAATAATAAAAAATGAATTAAAGAATGACCTGGAAAGAAGATCATTCTTACAAAACAGCCAGCCGGTCTAACATTCAGGATTTACCCTATTTTAGAGAATGTTTTGTCTTTTTGAAATTTTGCTTTTGTATGGTGTATTATAGTTTTCTACTTGTTCACTTTTCCGTTACATAGTCCTTTTTGAAAGAAAACCCGCTGTCACTCCAAGGCTAGCAGTCACTGAGAATCTCCACGTGGGACATTGTATCCCCGGGTGGTTCATCCCTGCCTCCACTGTCACTCGTGTCTTCAGGGCACAGCCCCCCAGGAACAACAGTGGCAGGTACAGGGACTTGCAATGACATTTCCCTAATTTTCTACTGCACAACAAAGATCAGGCTAGACCCTCTAACCACAACTTTCCTAAAGCCTTGAAAAGGGAAACAGAAAAGAGAAGGAAGCTACAATTTACCAGACTGATTTACAAGACTGAGTTTGCTTTTTCAGCTCTTGGTATCAGATGGGGATTCAAGAAGAGTCGTTTAGTAACCATCAAACAGAGACTGAACCTAAATTTTCCTGTGCTCCTAAAAGTCTTTACCCAAGAAAGTGAAGATTCTATTTCGACTGTTTAACATCATTCTGAAAAACCCTCTTCCCCAAATATTTGCTCCCTTACAGGTTATTCTAGCTCCATCTACAGCTGTGGAGCTACCCTGCAGCTTGAACAGCTTAGGCACATCAGAATACAATACAACAGAAGGTACACACGTATTGATGTGTGTGTTGGCGGGTAGAGTTTGTAGGGGGGGGGGTCGTTCTGGTACAATTCCATGTATTCAGTTAACAAATAGTTACTAAAACTCCCCAGCAGTGTGGGGAAGTGGAGATAGTATTTGATCTGGGCTGGAAGGCCTGAGTTCTATGCATGGATCGGAAACGTTCTAGCTTCATAACACTGGGCAAGTTATTTAACATTTCTGAGATTCCACTGTCAGAGATAAATAATAAAGAGATACATTACAGAATGTATATCAGATCCTTCTTTAAAACTGTGTTGCTTAATGCTGTTATTAGGAGTTCTGTGCAAGGTCCGGTGGTTAGCACAATGCAGGTCCATTCTGTATCTGCTCTGTATCTGTATCCATTCATGTCTCTGTGTCACATTTTGGTAATTCTCACAATGTTTCAAACTTTTTCATTGTTATAATATTTGTTATGGTGATCTGTAATCAGTGATCTTTGATGTTATTACTACAATTTGCTGAAAGCTCTGATGATGGAAAGCATTTTTTAGAGATAAAGTAGTTTTTGGTTAAGGTATGTACATATTTTTTAAGCACAATGTTATTGCACACTTAATAAACTACAGTATAGTATAACCTTAACCTTTATATGCACTGGGAAACCAAAAATACTCATGTGACTCACTTTACTGCAATGTTCACTTTATTGCAGCTGAATGGAACAGAACTCGCAATATCTCTGAGATCTGCCTGTGCATTAAGGCCTGGTACCATTTTTAGGCTTCAAGAGGACTAGAGAAAGGGCAAGCACACTGCCTTCAGCTCCAGCTGTACCTTTTATCAGTAGGATGCAACATGTTCAGTGGTGAAAGGGCTCCACTCTCTACTTTGAAATAATAGCTGAATTCCTATCATGGTTTATTTTGTTAAGAGGTGAAAAAGAGCAGAAAAAAGGAAATTTGCTTTAATCATGCTCCTTAGGGAATATCTCACCATATAAAAATCACAAGATAGCTTTCTCTCTTCTCAGGCTTATTAATAATCCTTTTAGAATACATTTAGGTTTGGAGAAATAATTCATACTCAAAATAAAACCTAATGACCTACTGTGGATTATATACCTATTGTGTGTTCAACATATACACAGGAGGAGAGAGAAGATAAAGTAACCTTGGAGGGAGAGGGGAGAGGTCTATAAACCAATTTATATTGGTTTTATTTTAACATATGAAAGGAAATGAAAAGAAAAAGATAAATAAAAATAGTTCTATCCTTCCTTGGTTAAAAAAAAATAGAAAAAAACCAGCCCAAATTCAAATTTAAACAATACTTTGAGACAGCTAAAACTGGTATTAAAAATAAAAATCAATTTTAACTCTAATCTTTTATGAATTATAACTGAATATACGAATGTACCAGATATAGAAAGTACAGAACAGACTTATGAAACTTTAAATCAAATGATCCATCCTGTGTCCATTTATTCATTGATGAATAACTATGCTTATGTAGTGGTTCTCAAAATGTGCTTCCTGGACCAGCAACATTAGTACCCGCTGGGAGCTTGTTAGCAATGTAATTCTTGGGCTCGATTAGTGGATACCTGGTCCTGTTCAAAACATGCACTGAGACATTTGGTCAACACCAAAAGGTCCTTGACAGTTGTTCCTCTCAAAAACATGAGCTTATTTGGTCCATGACAAATGGTCCTTGATATTTGTTCCTTTAAAAAATGTTCATGCTTAGAAAATGTCTTTGGGTTGAAATAGCCTGTAATGTTTGTTTATAATTTTGGTTTATAGAATTAATACATAAAAAATACTACCACGTTTTATTGATCCAATAATTGTGTTGTGGCTGTTTTACCAGCAAAAATCCTTCTTGCCTCAGTAGCCTAGCTGGTAATGGCACATGGGATTAGGTAGATGGGTCAAGGTTCAGATTTTGCAGAAGAGAAGGATTTATATTCACTATGTGCACTGAGGAAGAGTCCTACAGTTAGAAATGCAGAGGACAAGTCAAGGGTGGGATCTCGTGGTGTGTGATGCATTAATAGGTCACTGGCATTGGGTTGGATGTGGCTGGCTCATTCCATAAGGATGAGTTTGAAAAGAAGGGCTTGGTCAAGCCACCGTGTAAAATGGGGATCAAAGATGTTGATGTAAATATTTGATGTCTCACTTGTTCATAAGGAATGAGAGTGGGTGTGGCTCTCCTACCACACAGGGCTCAGGTGTAATGGCCACCATGAGGTGGGTATCAGGCATACAACTAACCCTGCAACAACTATCCCCTGGCCTAAGACTAATAGGCAATGTTTCCCTTGAATCAAAGTCATATAGAGGTACAATCTTGGTAGATGGCAAGAAGCGTCTGCCACTGTTTGGAGAGGTTTTAGTGGGTGTGATTCCACACTTACCCACTAATTGCGGTAGACCACCACACCCTATGCTGGTGCCTAACTAGTGGCTGAGCCAGGTGTCAAATTCATAAGACATTAGAGTGAGGATTCCCTACTGTTAAACCAGGCACCACTGGTTAGAAGTCTCCAAAGGAGAACAAAAAACCTTCTGTTGCTTGGCAATATGGCATTTTTATTTTAAAACTCTCAGCAGAATATGGCAGAAATATTATACTCAGAAAAGCCAATGCTACATAATGATGGCTTTTGTTATCATTTCCACTGCTTTAACAGAGATAGGAGTAAAAGGTACCGGCACTGTGAAGAGAAGAGACTCTACAACACCTGACTTAGAGCTGGTCAGGATCTGGATAATATAATCATTCCTGATGGGAGAGGAAAACACCAGCACCATGTTGGTGTTGAAGGGGAAGCGAGGAACACCCTGAGTAGATAAAAATAACACCAAGGAGAAGAACCAAATGCAGCACCATCACAGATACTTTGAAGAACTCTCCATGATATTCATGATGAAGAGATCCTATTAATGCTACCAGAAACTCATTAAACAGGCAAATAAGTAGAATTCAAAACAGACACTGACATGCTCACTTCAGCAGCACATA